AAGCATGGCAGGCATGTAAACGGTTCATCCTCCCTGCTTTGATGCCAACTCTTTGCAGGGCAGGGGTGGCACCTTTGCTCCTCTTTACAGACACCCCACCCATTTCAGTGCTCAGTGGATACCCCAAACTTTAAAAAACTTAACTGTATGGGATGTTTAGCTCTTAAAATAGGAAGTGAGCAAAAACGAGTTTCTAGTAAATATAAATGTACCACCAACTAGACTTACAAATAACATGAGCTTAATCTCTATTGAGCAAGGTACTCAAAAATAAACCTAAAGAGATGAGAAAGCCAAAGCATGTGCCTTTTCACCTTCTCCACAGGCTAACACTTTAGGGATACCTCTTCTCTCCACCAAGTCCAAACAGATTAAATTGTCTCGCTAACCTTAGCTGCATCTGAGACAAGAACAACACTGCAGATCACTGAGGAAGGGCTCCTTGTCCACAATCCGATGCTAGCTGAATTTGTCTGAGTAACAATAGACAGAGCTATACACAAAGGCCAGGATTCAAGGGACAATCATCCAGGTGCCACACATGGAAAGTCTTCAGTTCAAATAACACAGACATGTTCTCAGAGTGAAAGAAGCTACATCACTGCTGCCTAAGTAATCATCTCATGATTTTGAAGAAAAGAAAATTCCAATGTATGTAAAAATCAAATGAAAAATTATTTTCAGATCATCCATGACTTTGTAGTATTCATAACATGGGTTCCCTCCAGGTAGTTAAGCTTCAACTCCTATTTTTTCAGGCATTACCTTCACATCAAAGCTCACGTAATTCATCTACCCAATGATAAAGTGGCAGTGCTCAAAGCAGAATCAAGACGCCTGGATCTCCCCTGACTTTTCAGAAGCTCAGCGACAGAACACTCTCTGTGATTTACACAAATGTACTAACACCCAAGACTCTGATGTGGTTTAGGACAAACAGTGGCTTGAGAGAGAAGAGGTACACAGCCAAGGTGAATCTGAGAGGCTTTGCCAAGATTCCTTACCATATTTTACCTACTAATTATTCATTTTATAAGCATATTAAGGAGAGGTAAATGGTTAGAGAGAAAGGGAAAATGGGGAGATGGATAATAAACTACAGGATTTTTCATAACCATGAGACTAAAAGATTTGACTTGCAGTTTATTCTCTTGGGTACTATGAGGTTAACATGTAATACCCATTCAAATAAACCTCTTTAAACAGTTGGTTTTCCGCAATCACAGCCACTATTCCCACTTCAGTGGGCAGCAGTGTTCAGAGAAAGGCCAGATTTAGCTCCTGTGTGATAAACACCAGAAACCAAAATAGCTAGGACAACTGTTTATGTCCATGCCCACCAGGAACCATTCTCTGACCTAACTGTACCGAACGAACTAGGAAAAAGGAACGTCTCCTCAACAAAGCTTCAAGAGTGAAGTACTGCCCTCCATCCCCTCCTAATTTTTCAATTAAAAGGGTTTTTGCAAGACAGATTAATGAAAAACAGGTCATTTCTTTTTATATAAGCTCAATATATATACAAGCAGAAAGTAATTCTGTACTTTTCATAGCATTTAGCTACTTTATGTAGTATTTGGGGGGTAGACAGGAAGAAAGTAATTTTGAAGTGTTTTTATGCACTTTTTACAGATACTATCGCCTTTAAACTCTCAAAACACTTCTAAGAGCTAGGAATTATCACCCCATTTCACAGATACAAAAATTTAAAAACAGAGGGTTGAGTAATATGCCTAAGGCTCCGTAGCAAGTAAGTGGCAGAGGAAGCAAGAATCATCACTTTGCTCTCAGGCACAGCACAGCTAAAGATGCATGAGCATTTTATAAAGACTGTGGCACCTATGAAAGTCTCATGCAAAGAAACACCATTTTGGAGAAAATAGTTTTCCAGTCCTTGTCAGGATCTGACCTGGGCTTCCCAATGAACAGCTCAAAGCAAACTGCACAGTTAAAAGAGATCATCAAGTACTATAGTTGCCAGTAAGGCCAAGAATAGAACACAGGTCTGCTGACCCTCACTCCTATGCCCAATCAGGCATGTTCTTTTGGATGCTGACACCCTTCTGATGTTTCAAGTCATTTGAGAATAGCAAAGAAATTAGTTAATAATTCTGGTAGATAGAAGAGAATATGGAAAGTACCTAGATTAGAGAGATTTGCTATTAAAGGGGGCTGATCATAAGAAGACTTCTACTGAGGAAGTTTTGAACCAAAACAGTGGTACCTGCAAATTTTCTCATCTTCTGTGACAAAAAATGAAAAATAACCTTTGCCCTCTGCTCCCTGTGGGTTGTGAATGATTAGCTTGGCTACACTGATAACTAAGGAAAATACAAGACAAGTGCCTCTCCCAGCTGATTAGAATACTTACAGACTTACCCTACTACCAAACTCTTCCAATGCAATGCTAAATCAGCAGGACACTATGAATGTTAAGCAAATGTCAGCCACAATAAATCCTCTACTGCTGCAAAAAACTCTTCCATTAGTTCCAATGATGGTACCCTGATGAAGACATTGGAAACAGGAAGACTGCTGGATGCCAAAAAAGAAGGAAGGAGAGGAAACTCAGGGCTGGGAAACAGTGACCACAGTGCAGTGATGGAAAAAGGTCTCAGGAAAGAGGTGCCTGGAAAAAACAACCAGAGAACCAGCTCAAAAGGCTGGTGTACTGAGAACTTCTCTATGGGAGAGAAAAGGCTATTTACTGAGTCCGACATCATCAATATGAAGAAGGGACAACCAAGAGCAAGAAGAAAAACATTAGAAGAGCCTTGTCCTAGGTACTCAGATCTGTTTCCAGTAGGGAGATAAAACTCTAGATAAAATTGTCTGGCATTTCCAAATGCTAGATAGTAGATTTTAGACTTACTGCTTAACCTTGCTATTATAAATTTATTTTTAAAAACAGAAAGATAAAATAACTGTCAAGAGATTTCTTGTATCAAATTCTTTATGGTTTGCAACTTTTAGCAGAGTACAGGGACAGACAAAACTTGAGTTGAGACGTTACAATCTGGCCAATCACATCTTTAGAACAAATCTACTCATTGATCTCTCTCTTTTTCACTCAGCCAGGTCGAAATTCCTACACTTGGGTAAAGGCATTTTAATTTTTAAAAGTACACATTAAACTTCCAATATCCGAAATCACCAGAAAACTTAAAAGTATTCACTTCACTGTTCCTCACTGAATACCTCTTTCCAACTTGTTCTGGAGAACACAAGAAATAAGTTGATTATATAGATTGGTTCCAGAATACATTTTAGCTTAATATTTACAAATAATTTTTTTTTCCTTTTTGTCTTTTTTCGTGTCCGGCAACGGATCTCAACCCTCAGTGTCGCGCCTGTACCGGACTGGGACCGGCAACGGGATCGCAACCCTCGGTGTTGCGCCCGCACCTCGCTCAGCCAGTGAGCGGGTCTGTATGTGGGATCCGAACCCTCGGCGGGAGCGCCGCCACGCTCCCAAGCGGCGCACTGTAGCAGTGCGCCACCGGGCTGGCCCTACAAATAATTTTTTAAAAACCATTCTCAATGATCCATCCCACCATATTTAGATGCATAATTATTATAAATTTAATCTAATTATCATTGATTGATGCAAAACCATCAATTTATACTTGAAATCTCAAAACCCTTCTTCCACATTGTGAGTCATCACCATTCCTAAGTGTCTAGACACCACAACCCCTATGCTGAAGCTGCCGCACACCCCGACCCACAAAAGTAAAAGTGTCCAGAAAAACGGTTCATTTAAAAAAAAAGAGAGAGGTAACACCAAGGTCACGGGTTTGGATCCCCTTATCGGCCAGCCACCCAAAAAGTGTCCAGAAAAACGGTTCATTTAAAAAAAAAGAGAGAGGTAACACCAAGGTCACGGGTTCGGATCCCCTTATCGGCCAGCCACCAAAAAAAAAAAAAAAAATTAAATAAGAGAATCAAAACTAAATTAAATAAGAGGAAATCAGTAATTAACTCAATTAAAAACAAAACAAACAAAAACTGAAAATCCCCCCACCCACTTTTATAATGGATATTCTTCATCCATCTCCCACCACCATTCCCTAAAAAAGCAGCTCAATGTCTAGGCAGATTAAATATTGATCATCCCTGTTCCCCAAGGTCCTGAAGAGCACTTTGGTTACTGGGTTCTGTTTCAGCCTCAGACACTGAAGTGCCTGGTCCTACTCCAACCCCAGTCTCCCCTATTCCTTGTCCTAGCGAGAAGGACCCACCTCAATGCCACCTGTAGAAGACTGGGTGGGCAGGCAATTACAGGTAAATGATTCCACATTCCTTCTTAGCACTCTCTTCATATAACTTCACTCTGAAGTTTCCTCAGCAAACCCTACTATATTGAGTTTACCAGGGATGTTTGTAAAATCTGACCCCTAGCTTTGTGAAATACCAAAGGAATTTTTTAAAAACTCCAGTTAAGGAATTTATAAAAACCCTGTGTCTCTGTCTAAGGAAAAGTGCAAACTTTTAGGGCTGGAATATTAAAGAGTTAAAACTACTCTTCAAAACATAGCAACATTAAATTAAAGGAAAAAAATCCCAACAGAATTCAAAGTACACTGAGCTACAAACCTCTTAATTCTGTTGTTTGGTTTGATGACTTTTGCCAATCACCAAATCCAAACTAGTGATAAATGACATTTTCTATTTCAGCTGCTGTATTTAAAATTAGATGTTAACTCTCCTACAATCCTCCCTGCCCCCAACTAACCCTCTGTTCCCAAAGACCTTTCTATTCTTACAGTTACAACAGAAGTCCATGTTCCACAGGGGAGTAAACATAATCTGTCACTTTGCTATCTAAAACACCAGCTAAAATGAAAAGTCAAGGAAGTAAAGCGAATAGAATTCCAGAGGCCAGCCTGAGTTTGAGCACAGCACAGGGTTAAAGGAAACCATTTCATAAGATCAAATGCAGAGAAGCAGCAGGAGCAAAGAGGAAAAAATCAAGTTACATAAAGTCCAATTGTACTCACTGTTTCCTTATTGGGAAGCAGCTCCTTTCTGATTCTGAAGAAGTTCTTGCCGTACTGCCTGAGTCCCTTAACGAAGCGTTTCTGTGATAAAAAGAAACAACAAATGGAATATAAAAACCAAAAACAAAACAGGATGTCAGCAAAGCAAAGATATCTGCAATCAGCAGAATAACAACCACAAAAAAAAGTCTCAGCTAGGGAATATTGACTAGACCGGGAGAGTGTTTCAGCAGCACAGCTGGGATCCACAGGCCAGGGCCCCCGACAGCCTTCATTAGAACCCCAATCCCACACACCAGACAGGGCAGCGCGTTTAAGAGAAGGCCATCCTGTGTCTGAAGCTAAGAAGCAATTTGTCCCCTCTGCCACCAGACACAGCACGAAGGTATAAACAACAAATATACTCCCTGTTTCAGTAAAACAACACAACTGCTTTCCACCTGAGAACGCAGCTTCCCAGAAGTGTCGAGCAGAAAGGGGAAACAGAAACAAACCTGGTGACTCTTCTCCAGAAAGGCACCCTAGAGGGTTAAAAGGCTCCTTTCCTTAATCCAAGGAATGCACCAGGAAGGCACCGGAAGGCACCGATATCGCGGAAGCCCGCTGAGAGCCCGAATCCCAGCTGGTCTGCCCCGCCATCTCCGTCATTAAAAGCCACCCCGAGCCACCAAATAAAGAATAAACAGCACCCCTTCCTTCCTCCGGACGCCCCTTACCACCCCCTTCCATTTTCGTAGTGGTCTCAGATTCGTCCCCAAGCCCAGCCCGAAGACTTTCACTTTGTCCCATTCCTCCCGATCAGCCCCTCCCCGATCCGTGGGGGGCAGCTCCGGACCCCCACCTCAGGGCCCTAAGCCCGGTCCCGCGAGGCCGACCCTGGCAGCCACAGGTAAGCGCACGGGGTCCCGGGCGGTGAGAGGCCGCCGCCTGTCACTCGGCTCTGGCTCCACAAAGCGCAGGGTGGAGGCGGCCGCGGGCAGCTCGGCGTGTGACCGCGGCGGGGCCGCGCGGCGCGGGGCGCGGGGG